AGATATAGGGAACTGAATATTTACCCCAATGTGACAAATAGCATTTCCATGGAACTATTTTCAGGTTGAGGAAATGACTGGGTGGGAGCTTAAATTCTCTCTTCTCCTGCAGCACAATCACAATACAAAATTGGGCCCTGCACATTTGCGCTTTAAATGAAACAAACAAAACACTTGCTTGGGCATTCATTTGCAGAATTCCCCGTACGATATTAAGCAGGCTGGTTGCAGAAGCCTTTGAAAGTTCTGGGATGAAATTTGGGCCTTTAGGAAGCTAACAATCCCCTGGTTGTGTTTTGTTTACAGTGCCAGAACTGGATCCACACACCATTGGATGGTGCACTATTGTTGCACATTAGCAGTCATTTGTAATGCTATTGTCCTGTCCTTAAGGGGTGAGGGGGAACAGTTCAACACATGAAGCTGCCTTATACTGAATCAGACCCTTGGTCCATCGAGGTCAGTATTGCCTACTCAGATCGGCAGTGGCTCTCCAGGGCTTCAGGGAGAGGTCTTTCACATCACCTTTCAACTGGAGAGGTCAGGGATTCACACTGTGACTTCCTGCATGCAAAGCAGATGCTCAACCACTGACCCCCACAGCCCCTTCACAGCACATTGTGAATTACTGGAATGACAACACAAGATCCAGCTATGTATAGATAAAGAAAGATCAGCAGATGGTAAGTGATATCCTGGTGGAACCTGCAAGGTCCCTGTGCTTACTAGTCATAGGCATGTGGTGCTATGAGCTGAGTAATTTTGGCCTGGGCAAGGACCTTTGGCAGTATGCACGGAGTACAACTCACTTCTTTCATCTGATATGCAAAGCAAGTAGCCACATTTACAAAACAAAATCTGCAAACACTTTAATGCAGTGGTGGCGAACCTATGGCACGGGTGCCAGAGGTGGCACTCAGCCCTTTCTGTGGGCATGCGTGCCATTGCCCCAGCCAGGCCCAGACCATCATTAAAGTGTCGAATTCTCTGCCAAATAATTTTAAGTAAATGAAAGCATTTGGGATTGCTTTCCTTTGTTTGGATTATCTTAAGTGAATGTAGGAGTTGTTTTTCTAAAGTAAAACCTCAGTATTCAGGTTAAATTGCTGTGTTGGCACTTTGCGATCAATAAGTGGGTTTTGGGTTCACAGTTTGGGTACTCGGTCTCTAAAAGGTTCGCCATCACTGCTTTAGTGACTCAAGACAGGGTTTAAGTAGTCTAAACCATTGAACTGCCTGCCATTTGGTTTTTCTGTCCTGCACCTCTTTTTTTACAAAATGACAAAGTGTGTGTGTGTAGTATTAATTTATACTCTGGACCCTCTCCCCACATCTTAAGGCAGCTTGGGCAGGTTAAAACATTTAAAAATATGATACAGATACAATACAAATAAATACATTCAATAAACAGAGCAATAAAACCAATTAAAACATCAACTGATTACTCAGAAATTAAAACAACTGGCCAACTCCCCAGTTCGTTATGTTGACCAAAGGTGGCATGAAATAAGCCAGCATTACATGTTCTATGGAATACTGGAAGATCCTGCAGGGCATGAACTTCCCAAGGGAGCTCATTCCAGAGAGAAGGGGCAACCACTAAAAATGTCATTGCATGGTTGACAAATGGGCAATTCACAAGCCAGGCACCTGTAGAAGGCCCTGTGACAATGAGGAGGCGACGGGGGTCATACTGAGAGAGGTGGTCCCACAGGCAGAACGGTCTCAGACCAATGAGGTTGGTACTCTGCTTAGGATAGCATTGTATCCCTGTCCTCAAACTACTTGTTTGTGTTATGTAAGCCATTTAGTTGGTAATACTAGAGCTGAGCTCGTATTGAACACCATCTTTCCTGAACTTGAGAGTTATTATGGTGTACAGGTTAATGTGCCCCATGGAATCCAAAGTTTAAGTCCCAACTGAGCCACAATGTCAGTCACACACCTTCACAGCATAACCTATGTCACAGGGCTGGTACAAAGATTTAATGGACAAAAGGAAAACTCTGTCTTCACTGTGGAAGATGAGAAGTGCTTGCCCACTCCAGAACCGCTGATTTTGGGAGGGGTGTTGAAAGACCTGAGTCAGATTGAGGTGAAGAGAGAGGAGGTCCTAAAACTGATAGACAACTTAAAAACTGATAAATCACCAGGCCCAGATGGCATACATCCGAGAGTTCTGAAAGAACTCAAATGTGAACTTGTGGATCTCCTGACAAAAATATGTAATCTTTCCTTAAAATCTGCCTCCATTCCTGAGGACTGAAAGGTAGCTAATGTCACTCCCATCTTTAAAAAGGGTTCCAGAGGAGATACAGGAAATTACAGGCCAGTCAGTCTGACGTTGATACCGGGTAAATTGGTGGAAACCACTACTGAGGAAAGAATTAGTAGGCACATAGATGAACAAAACCTACTGAGGCAGACTCAGCATGGATTCTGTAAGGGAAGATCTTGTCTCACTAACCTGTTAGTGTTCTTTGAGGGGGTGAACAAACATGTGGACAAGGGGGACCCAATAGATATTGTTTACCTTGACTTCCAGAAAGCTTTTGATAAAGTTCCTCATCAAAGCCTCCTAAGTAAGCTCAAAAATCATGGGATAAAAGGACAAGTCCTTTTGTGGATCAAAAACTGGCTAATTAATAGAAAACAGAGAGTGAGTATAAATGGGAAATTTTCTCAGTGGAGGGTGGTAAGCAGTGGGGTACCGCAGGGATCAGTACTTGGTCCACTGCTTCTTAACTTGTTCATTAATGATTTGGAGATGGGAGTAAGCAGTGAAGTGGCTAAATTTGCGGATGATACAAAGTTGTTCAGGGTGGTGAAAACCAGTGAGGATTGTGAGGCACTCCAAAGGGATCTGTCAAGAATGGGCAAGTGGGCGTCAACTTGACAAATGGGGTTCAATGTGGCCAAGTGCAAGGTGATGCCCATTGGAGCCAAAAATCCTAAATATAAATCAATGGGGTCTGAACTGGCAGAGACTATACAAGAGAGAGATCTTGGACTTGTAGTAGATAACTCACCGAAAATGTCGAGACAGTGTGTGACTGCAATAAAAAAGGCCAATGCTATGCTGGGGATTATTAGGAAGGGTATTGAAAAGAGATCAGCCAATATCATAATGCCCCTATATAAATCAATGGTGCGACCTCATTTGGAATACTGTGTGCAGTTCTGGTCACCACACCTTTAAAAGGATATTATAGCTTTGGAAAAAGTGCAGAAAAGGGCAACTCGAATGATAAAAGGGTTGGAACACTTTCCCTATGAGGAAAGGTTAAAGCGCTTAGGGCTCTTTAGCTTGGAGGAAAGACGACTGAGGGGTGACATGATCGAGGTTTATAAGATTATGCATGGGAAAGAGCAGGTAGAGAAAGAGGTACTTTTCTCCCTTTCTCACAATACAAGAACTCGTGGGCAATCCATGAAATTGCTGAGCGGTCGGGTTAGAACGGATAAAAGGAAGTACTTCACCCAAAGAGTGATGAACACATGGAATTCACTGCCACAGGAAGTGGTGGCGGCTACAAGCATGGATGGCTTCAAAAGGGAATTAGATAAGCATATGGAGCAGAGGTCTATCAGTGGCTATTAGCCACAAGGTATAGATAGGGACTCTAGGGCAAGTGATGCTCTGTCTTCTTGGTGCTTGGGGAGGGTCAACAGTGGGAGGGCTTCTAATGTCCTGGCTCCACTGGTGGACCTCCTGATGGCACCTGGTATTTTTGGCCACTGTGTGACAGAGTGTTGGACTGGATGGGCCTTTGGCCTGATCCAACATTGGCGTCTCTTATGTTCTTAAAACTATCCACAACACCTTGAGCTCCTAGGAGGAAGAGGAGGATAAAAATGTGATTGAAATGACAGTAAGAAATATTGTGTATTGTTACTTCAAAGCAATGCAAATTATTTCATTCAGTCCTTCAGTAATCAGGCATAGTTTTTGGCCATAAAGTTCAGTTCCTAGTGGCAAAATGCAGTTCATCTAGAAGACTAAACAATACAAACCAAGAATGACAAATGTTTGCTCCCTTCTAGTTAGTGGCAACATCTCTCTAAAGGCTTGTTATCTTTTAACCAACAGGTACCCTGATGCCATCTAAATAACTTAGCATTGCCAGGTCTGATTTGAAAAATACCTGGAGACTTTGGGGGTGGATCCAGGAGAGGGTGGGGTTTGGGGAGGGGAGGGGCCTCAGCATAGTACAATGCCATAGAGTCCACCCTTCAAAGCAGCCATTTTCTCCAGGGGAGTTGATCTCTGTCAGCTGGAGATCAGTGGTAAAAGCAGGAGATCTCCAGACCTCACCTGGAGGCTGGCAACACTACAATATCTTCACCAAACTGCCATGACTATCCAAGGCTGTCTGTATAGTGCACAGAACTCAGATCTTCCTTTTATATCTGATTCTGATAGATCCATGCCACTTCTGTATTTCGTACAGTACCTATAGCATTGTTGTGAAGCAGACAGGCTTAATAAATGCTACACAGCATCAGCAGGATGAAAACACATCCATAGCAATTTCTGCACACCTGTATTAATATACATAGGCATAATCTTCATGGGGGCGGCGGGGCTTCAGCCCCCGCTGAAATTTTCAGGAAGGTGCTCAGCCTCCCCCGGGAGCCACCCTTGCTCCTAGCACAGCAATGCCTCTGGCCCAGGCCCAGCCCCCCCCCCCGGAAATTGGAAAGTCTACACCCTTGTTAATATACACACGTGCCCTTTGTTTGCCAAAGCAGAGGATCCAGGTCTGCTGGTGAAAGCCTGAGTGCAATCCTGAACCCTCCTCCCGCTAGAATACACTTCGTCTGTGCTTACTTTAGGCAAAAGGAACTGAATTGTACTTCAGGTATGGTGAGTTTCCTGTCACCTGGGCGGCCCAGAGAGACGACATGAGCATGGCAAAAGGGAGGAAAAGGCACTGCGATCAGGTTACGACAGGCACCGCTGATGGATTACTTACCCACGGACAGGGTAGGGAGGATCCTCCACGCCCTTCACCCATTGTCAGGGCCACCTCGGCAGTTTCCGCTCCCGCTTCGGCTCCTTTTGTCTCCGCCCTATGGGGAACGCTCGGGAAGCTTCGGCGCTCCGCTGACTCTTCCGGGACTCCAGAGTGTAGCGCAGCGCCCACCACTCACCTGGAGGAGCTGTGACCTCTAGCAGTCAGCGCCGCCGCTGACTCGAGAGCAAACGGGATCTGGTAAGAAGCGCAGGCTCCATCAAGGCGATAAGAGGGTGCGAAAGAGGGGCGGTTCCCCACGTTTCGCCCGGGTGTTTGGGCGAATGCTAAACTTCTCCCGGACCTGCTTGGGAATCTTGGAAGGAAAGGGCGGCTCGGGAGAATTTGCAGCTCGTTGAGAGGCCAGCGGGAGGAGAGGCGAGAGTTTGCTAGAGCGGGGAAGAAACAGGATGGGAAAGCGGGAGCGAGGTAGGAGACGGGTCGGGTAAGAATGGGGGGGGGTGGAGATATATTGGAGAATAATATTAATTTGGATTCCGGGAGAGGAAGGGTTAAGTACACTAATCCCTCGATATACGTGCATCGGCAGAAATAAGTCGGAGAGTGGCAACTGATAGATTCCCGAGTTGTATGTTTGCGCGGGGGGAGGGGAGGAACGAGAGATCATGCGGCTGCTGGGGGGATACCCCGGGGTTAGAAGAGCAGCTCCCTGGAGACCGAGATGCCGTTTGACTCGCTCCCTTTTGTCTTCTGCAGGGTGTTCGGTGGCCTCCCTGCCCCCCTGCTAGTGCCTCTCCCGAGCCAGCCGGGCTCCTGAGGCTGGCCAGGCCAGGGAGCTGATTGGAGGCAACGAAGTCTCGGTCGCTCCCTTTGCCCCGCTGGGAGAACATGGCCACCGGGGGCTACCGGGGCAGCGGCGCCAACACTACCACCGACTTCCTGGAGGAGTGGAAAGCCAAGCGGGAGAAGATGCGGGCCAAGCAGGCACCGCCGGCCGGGGGGCTGGCGACGGCGGCAGGGGATGGCAAAATCCCGGGGGCCGCCGCAGTCGTTACCCCCGCCGCAGTCGTTACGGCTGCCCCCACCGAGCTAAACAATAACAACGGCGGCGGCGGCGAGCGAAGCGGGGGCATAAATTGCATCCCTCTGGCCAGGTGTGGCGGCACCAAGGAACCCCCGTCCCCGTCCCTGGCCGGGGCTCGAAGCGGGGGTGGCGCGGATGCCGCGGGGGTGGCAGCGACTCCTCCGGAAGAGGAGAAAGTGGCAGTGAAGGGCAAAGGCTCCTCCGGCCCCAGCGCCCGCAAAGGCAAAGGGCAGATCGAGAAGAGGAAGCTGAGGGAGAAGAGGCGCTCGACAGGTGTGGTGAACATCCCAGCCACTGAGGTAAGGCGCCGCCGGAGGCGGGGAGAGAGGGAGCGGCGGGCCCTTACGGAGGGCTCGCGCCCCTTCGGAGGTGGAGTGGCGGCCGGCGCTGCACCTGAACAACCTGGCGGTTCACTGGGCGCAGACTCCGCCCCCTCCGTCGCGGCCGCTGGCATTGGTTGTTTCGGCGGTTCAAAAATGCTGCTGCTGTTGCTCACCTAATTGTTGCTCCACGGGGCTGGGAGGTTAAGCTGGAATTCAGCGGAATCAGGCTGAAGTTTCTGGGACTTTTCCAGAGCCAGTGGTTTGTATACTGCACCCTAAAAGCCTTGACGACAGAGTTGTAAGGGTGCCTATGAACAAAAGAATGGGTGGTTTCTCGAAACAAGAAGTCCTTGGGTTAGACTTACTTTTGGATAGGTCAAGAGTTGTTAATGGCAGCCATTTGTCTATTTTGTAGGTATGGTGATGATAATTTGGAAGCAGGTGCCTCAAAGAAAAGAACAGCTTTATAGTCACTTAAGACTGTGTCCACGCCTTTTCTCTGTTCTCTTGCTCTTAGTACTATGGATTAGGTGTGTATAAGATTATTTTAATCGAGTTTGGTAGTTCCATCCTGCTCCCCCAAAGTCAGAAAGGCAAGTTTCAAGAATGCCCTGAGATCCTTATACTAAGTCTCTAGAAGAATTATATACTCATAAAAGTAGTTAAAAAGTGAGTTGTGCTTACGTTATTACAGTGGTTTGGTCTTGATGAGCACATCTCAGTAGCATCTCTTGTATACATTGATTTATATTTGCATACAAAAAATAGGTTTGTTACAGGCATTTGTGATTGTAGTCTGTGTCACATGTTTCCTTTTAGCTAATATGAAACGAGTGCAAAGAAAGACCTTATAAAACTGTATACTGTATGAAAACACTTCTGCGTATTATCACGGCAATGTTTACAAAGATAGACATAAAGGCTTGTGAATATTGATCTTACACTTTCCACTTTAGTTCTGTCTTCTGTGTCAGTCATTTCATCTAATATTAAAAAAAAGTTTTATTATGGCCAAAATAATGAATAAAGGAAATTGAGATATCAGTTCAGGTGTAAATGTAATGTCGTTTTAAATCCGAAGCAATTTCTTGCAATGGAAAAAATGCAGTGGTTTTAGAAAGGGAGAGAAGGATGTTTTTGTTAGCCAACACAACTGTCTGCTGTGGTTTTCTACAAGCATAAAAATCTGGCATTAATTTAAAAATGCGCTTAAAGGAATTTAAAAGCATGATAATCATATTTATCTTTTTCTAAAGGTTTGGAGAAATTTAGTGCAGGCCCTTTTTTCACTTTTGTTCAGTAAAACAGTAAATACTACAGTTCAAGCATTTGTGGCTTGTTCTGTATATCGGAATGCTGTAACAGATTCCTAAGTATCTGGGAGGATTAAATCCTGTTTTCACCTAAAGTCATCTAAGTCTTCTTTTCATGACTACATAATAATTACACAGCTGTTATTCTGTAGTGCAAGAATGTGCTCAGGAGTGGGAGGGCAGATTCTTATTCCTTGATGTAGTAGTTGGTCCTACAAAGCTACATTAACCACAATAGTCGAGTGAAAGGTTGAACTAACTAAAACTAGATTCAGATAAGATCAAGGTGATGTTGGTTTGGAAGGTTGATAATCTGGAGGAGACTGATACACCTGTATTGGGTACAGATGGGAAGTCACACACACACACACACCCCCGGGAAGTTGGGAAAAAATGGATTATGTAATATTTTACTGTGATAAATAACATGTTTGTGATAAAGTGTTAATATATTTAATCCTCCAATATTATTTCTAAAAACTATGTAACATTGAAGACTTTTATGTAAGACTATGTAAAGTATCAAATAATTGCAATTCCTGTACACTGAGGAGAAGCAAATGCAGGAATACAATTCAGATACTGAGAAAGTACTGAGGATACAACTCTCAAATATAAGAGAAATATGCATTTTTGTCTTCAGAGAGCACTGCAGTTCTCACAAGAGAAGGAAAAAGGTTTCAGTTTCCTTTTTGTTATGTGGGCTTCATCTTGGTGTAGTCGGTGGTTCTGTTTCTGTCCTCTCAGCTAGGCCTCAAAAGACTGCTAGAAAGTAGGCTCCTTATAGTTCAGGTGTTCTTTATATTTCAGAACCTTTTAGTTCCATTTGTAACAAATAAAATTTTAAAAAGTAAATTCAATTTGTTATTATTTTCTGAATAAGCTGTATTTTTAATATATCAAACATGATGCTTTTATGCCAAGTCAATTTATGCATACTGCATTTTATGTTCCGAAAGTGTCTTTCAATCTGTAAAGAGTACTAATATTGCATTTTTTCAATGTTTCTGAAAATTTTATTTTTTTCTGAAAAAAAGGAAAAAAACTTTTCTCCATGGCTTCAAAATTTGTGGAAATTTTACATCTCTAGTATTGGGTGAAATACAGGTATGTTTATCAAATAGCTTAACAATTGTGGGAGTGCCTCTGACCCCGCTCATTGTTGTCACAGGGATCTGGGTGATTCTAGTACCTTCATCTGCAGATTCAGCGCATCTAGCCAAAGCAATCCATACTTTTCTGATCTCAAGACTAGATTACTGTAATACAAACCTTGTGAGGCTACTCTTGATAGTGTCCTGGAAACTTCAACTGGCATGAAATGTGGTGGCATTCCTGTTAACAACACCAGGCTGTTTAGATTATATTACAACTGTATTAGAACAACTTCATTGGTATCCTGTTGTTTCTGGGCTCAGTTCAAGGTGCTGGTTATTACATATAAGGCTGTTCATGACTTGGCACCCAAATAGCTGAAGGACAGTCTCCACTTTTAACAGCCTATCTGCCAGCTGAGATCTACTCTACAAGAATTACTTGAAGTTCCAGTTTATCTCCAGATCTGCTCTGCTGTGGTGAGGCCTTGTACCTTTTCTGTGGCTGCTTTCTTCCTCTCCTTACCTACCTGAGGAAGTAGTCTGGACTTCTTTCCTTATTGAGGGTTTTTAAATGGCAGAATGGTTGAGTTAGATTTTTAAATGCAAATGTTGCTAGGATTGTTGATTATGGTTTTATGGCAAAAAGTCCTGTGACTTTAAAAAAAAGAGTATATTTCTGTTTGTCATTTGTGTTTCAGTGTGGTTGTTAACTGCTTTGAACAAGGAAGATTAACCCTGTGTAAGAGAGGGACCAGTTGGAGGACTTCATTCTAAAGGCCTAATAGCAACTTTTTTTTAATCTTTTGTTGAGGGGGGCTACTCTTATACTGTTAAAGAAAAAAACCCTGACTGATTTACTCAGTTCCACAGACCTCAGTTGCTTCTCTTTGATATGTACTTCACAGAGTATCACCTACGTTTTGCTGTGTTTGCCATTGTGAAGGCAATATGTCATCTAGAATACAAATGCCTCGTATGGTATTTGTTCCCCTTTTCACCTCCAGATCATGAATCAGTTGAATTTTTTCGCCAAGGCAATCTTCTGTTACCTTCAATTAGTAGGCTTCTATCCCCCTACCTTTTCTCTACTCTGCTCTAAAAGGAATAGTTCTTGGTTTTTTGCCATGTGTTAGCAGTGTTTGCAAAAGATTAGATCAGTTGTGCCCCTTGATTCATTGTTAATATAATTGCTCTTTCTATTTCATTATTTCTTCATATCAAAAAGTAATATATGCTACAGAGTTTTTAGCAGTGCATTTTAGGAGGGATTTTCTGTTAGGAATGAAAATTTACTTGAGGCACTATTAAATTATGCAAATTTGCACTTTAATTTCTAAGCACAGGTTATAAAACAATGTTTCTAATATTCAGTTTTTAATATCACAGCACATTTACATGAAAATATCTATATTTTTAAATCTTTTCCTTCATCTGTTGCACCATTCTGCTTTGGAGAATATCGTTGTATTCTTAGGACTTCTCTGGTATCTAATACAAATTTAGTCATGGTACCAGTTTGCCAACCATTCAAGTTTTAATACAAGACTATTCTTAGGAGCACTCTCCAATAAATAAAATCAGTCTAATTACATGTAAAAAGCCAGTTCCTTGTAAAATGTAAAATAAAATAGGTACAAAAACCTAGTCCTTAATTACTAATTACAAGATCCAGACACTGGGAATTCTTGGCACTTTTATTTACCTGATTTTGTCTGCCAGTTGAATTGGGATATTCCACAAATGGTTAAAAGAATGTGAGCCATGAGATGGCCCAAACTACACAATCACAGTCTCTCCTTTCTTATATTTCCGTGGGGGTCTGTGGAGTGGGTGGCAAGGGGATACTATGATAGATAGCATTAATTCAGCATAACTTTCTCCCACACTGCACAACCCATTGGCTGCCTGCTCAGGTGATCTTGGGCTTTTGCTGGCTGCTGTGGGACTTGTTTTTGTTTTGATGCCTGCACAACATCACATCAGTGTAACCATAATGTATAAATCCTTGGGTTACAGGTCTCTCACCAGCAGGAGATGCATTTGTGACCCGTTAGTGCTGACACTACACGAGCTCCATGCTGTAGCCGCGCCATCAATGACTAGCATCTGGTGGTGCTTTTGTAGTACCTGAAGCAGTACACAAAAAAAAGTATTGGGCAGGCTGAGGTTGGTGAAAACCATAGGGACCCCAAAGGTACAAGCAGAACTGGTGATGAGCGCATTCTGAGAGTCAACCACCTGTTCAGTGGATGAACACATACATCCTTGTTGTAAAACTCAAGTTGGATAGCTTCATTTTTAATGGTCTTCCTTTGAAGATGAAATTACAAGGTAAAGAGTGTTTGCATAGGACGTTGTACCAATTAAAGCACAACTAATCTCTTTAAGAAGTGCCTTACATGGACTGTCCCTGGTCCAGTATTCTTTGCAATAATCCCAACATCATCAGTCTAAAGTTGGTTCCTGCTCTGCCAGTGGACTACACAGCCTGCTCACCCTGCTATAAAGTGTGAAACAGAGCTCTTTGCTTCACACCAAAATCTGTTAACCTAGTGCTGAAAAAATA